ATTGTTATTATTTTTTTTGGTCTGTTCAAGAATCATCATTAGGCTTTATTCGTCCTAATACCTTTATTTCTATTCCATTAGTTTCACTTTTTATGTTTGTTAAATTTCTTTTTTTCTGTTTTCTATTATTTTGTTTTCTTTCTTTTCCTAATTTAAGTTTTACATTTACTTTCAAGCAAGCCCATCCGTTTTTAACTTTTTCTATTGAGAAACACAAAACACATATAGGAAAGTGCACAAAACAAAAATATGTAGCTTAGCAATTCATCAAGAGTCAAATAACCATGTGACCTCCACTGAAGTCTAGAAAGTGTCCCCAGCATCCCAAAGCCCTCCTTATGTACTCCCAGTTCACTGCCTCTCCACCCCCCCAAAGATAATCACTATGCTAATCTTTATGATATTCACATCTTTAATTTTCTAAACAATTGTACCAGCTATGCATGCACCTCTGAACACTATAGTTTAATTTTGTGTTTTTGTTTTTGTTTTTTTGCGGTAGGCGGGCCTCTCACTGCTGTGGCCTCTCCCGTTGCGGAGCACAGGCTCCGGACGCGCAGGCTCAGCGGCCATGGCTCACGGGCCCAGCCGCTCCGCGGCATGTGGGATCTTCCCGGACTGGGGCACGAACCCATGTCCCCTGCATCGGCAGGCGGACTCTCAACCACTGCGCCACCAGGGAAGCCCTTGTCTGCTTTTTTGAACTTCATTTCAGTAGAAGTATTTCTTTTGTATCTGGCTTCCTGTGCTCAACATGCTGTGCGGTATACTCGTGTGGCATGTTGCTGTATTTATGTTCATTGCTTTATAATATTGCATGGTATGAATATAAAACAGTTTATTCATCCATTCTGCATTTGATGGACATTGAGCTCTTTCCTGTGTGAAGCTGTTTTAAGTAATGTTGCTATGAACTTTCCAGTACATGTTTTTTGTAACCATTGCATGCATATCTGTTGGATATAGTCCTAGGATGGAAATATCTGTTGGGTATTATGTTAGATTGAGGCGCAATCTTTAACTTAAGTAGATAATGCCAAGCTGTTTTCCAACATTTCTGTCTCAATTCACACCCCACAGAAGTGTATGCATTCCTGTTGCTTCACATCCTTATCCTCACTTGGTATTGTCTATTGTCATTATTCTTCAGTTTTAGCGATTCTGATGGGGATGTAATGACATCTCACTTTATTTTGATTTCTGTTTCTCAGAGTACTATTGTGGTGGGGCTCAATATCTCATGTTTCATAGGGGTTGTTTGTCTTTTTCTGAATATTTAAGACAGAGCTTTTTGTTTGTTTTGGATATAAGTCATCTGTCACTTACATGTGATGCAAAATCTCCTATTTTTACTCTCTTATGGGTATTGTTTGATGAAAAAAATTTTAATTACAAATAGTCAAACACATGAGTCATTTGTTTATTCTTAACACATTTTGAGCCATGTTTAAGAAGTGTTTCCCTATCCCAGGGTCATGAGGATATTCTCCTATCTTACCTTCTCACAGTTTTCTTGTTTGGACCTTCATGTATTCATTTATAATCCATGATAAAAATGCTTTAAAGAACATATATGTTTAATTAGGTCCTATTTGTTTATTTTTGTTTTTATTTCCATTACTCTAGGAGATGGATCCAAAAAAATATTGCTACGATTTATGTCAAAGAGTGTTCTGCCTATGTTTTCCTCTAGGAGGTTTATAGTATCTGATTTTACATTTAGGTCTTTAATCCATTTTGAGTTTATTTTTGTGTATGGTGTTAGAGAATGTTCTAATTTCATTCTTTTACATGTAGCTGTCCAGTTTTCCCAGCACCACGTATTGAAGAGACTGTCTTTTCTCCATTGTATATTCTTGCCTCCTTTGTCGTAGATTAGTTGACCATAGGTGCATGGGTTTATTTCTGGGCTTCCTATCCTATTTCATTGATCTGTATTTCTGCTTTGTGCCAGTACCATACTGTTTTGATGACTGTAGCTTTGTAGTGTAGTCTGAAGTCAGGGAGCCTGATTCTTCCACCACCGTTTTTCATTCTCAAGATTGTTCTTTCTATTTGAGGTCATTTGTGTTTCCATACAGATTAAAAATTTTTTTTGTTCTAGTTCTGTGAAAACTGTCATTGGTAATTTGATAGGGATTGCATTGAATCTGTAGATTGTCTTGGGTAGTATAGTCATTTTCACCATGTTGATTCTTCCAATCCAAGAACAGGGTATATCTCTCCATCTATTTGTATGGTTTTCTGCCTCCATCTCTCTATTGTTCAGGCAAAGGTAGTTTGGGTAAACATGTGGGTACTGGAAACCACAGCATTGCCTGTATAGAGCACGCTGACATTATACAGGAGGGAGTGAAAGTCGTGCACACAACCTGGCCTCTGAAATGTTCTCATCCATCTCACAGCTGTCCCCAGGCTCTGCAGGCCACTGTCACTCCAATACCGTCTCTGTCCCCATAGCCAGCCCCTTCCCATACTGTCTTACTCCTGCTTCAGACAAGAGATAAATCAACCCCTAGAAATTTTATGTAGTTAGGCCTCCAATTCCAGAATAAATATTTTCTATCAAAGAGGACCAGAAATAAAGTTCCATACAGGGATTTCAGCAATTTTGTTTCCTGTTCACTCTTGTTGTAAATCTCAGTGCCTTAAACAGTGGGCTGAGGGCGGGTGTGTAAGACACCTCGGGAGAAGGCCAAGAAGAGGCCCCTGCCCCGGGCTGCCTCAGGGGGAAATCAGTAGCCTCAGCTCCCCAGAGCTGGGCCTTGTCAAAGATGGACAGAGCTCTACCTCAAAGTGGTGAGGACAGGTTTTCATTAGAAGTAGAATGTGGCAGTTGGGAGGAGAGTCGAGTGTGTGCTTGAACTCGACTTCAGTTTGCACAGAGGTGACCAGGCGTGTTAAAGGAAGGATGAGGGAGTGGGGGTGGCGGGGAGTGGGGCCTCAGTAGAGTCAGGGAAGTGGAAAATCACAACGGGTTAGCAGGGTCCATGCAAAGATGCCCGCTGTCTGTGCCAGCTGCTGGCAGTCACCGGAGACAGGCTCCCCTCCCACATAGGCTGGGACATGGGCCCTCTCCCGAGGCTGGAAAAAGCAGCTGGTTCTCCTGGCAGTCTTGGGCTTTCTCAGGCAGGCACTTTGGGGGGGTCAAGTCCTGTAGGGATGTTGCCTTGAGCTGTTAGAGCTTGTTTGTGTTTTCAGGCCTTACAGGCCATGGTTGAGGCCTTGTGGGGAAGAGGGCTCGCGGGAGCCTGGGCAGAGTTTGACCAGGAGAGAGCCTGTCCACCAGCCTCCCTCCGGCCTCCGTTCTGGGTGGTGCCGCCCCAGCTCCCCTCCCATGCACCTCAGGTCCAGGATGCTCTGAGGCAGAGTGGTCTTCTCCCTGAGCACGTGCCCAGCTCTGATGGCCAGGGTCCACCCGGCACCCAAGGCTGGGGACCTCAGAACCCCCAATGGGCAGGGGCACCTGGGGTGAACTTTGACCTTTTTTTTAACCTTTATTTTACCTTTTAACAGTTTTACCTTTTCCCTCGTTACCTTTTAAAACTTGGCCTCGAGAATCATAACCCTTGTTTTCCAGTTTTTTGAGACCAGAAATAAACATTGCCAATGACATGACCGTGGAGATTTCAGTGGCCAGAGAGCCACGGCCGTTCACCTTGGTCTGGCCCATGCCTCTCTACCAACGGCGGCCCTGACACTGGTGGGCAGCGGGCCCTGTGGACCTCCAGTGTTGGGTGCGGGGTCAGGTGTGAGCTGCACTATTTCCCGGAGTGTTGTACGGCTCCTTTAGCCGGGCTTCAGCCCTGGAGCCTGGAGACATCTCTAAAAGCATGAGCATCTCTATAGGCAGCTTTCGCAGCCCCTCCTGCCGTAGGTGGGTGGCTGTGGCAGGGGACAGTGGTTTGTGCGGACACCGCCCTCCTCCCCCTGCCTCCCGTCCTGCCCCCGAGGCCTGCGCGCAGATTTGGAGAATCGCTAACGAGCAGGCCTGGACACACGAGGTCCCCCCCACTCACTCAAATGTGTAGTGATTTATAAATTATTTGAGAAGACTGAATGAAAAGAGCAAAGATGAGGCATAAAATAGGTAAAGGATAAACTATCTAGAGGTTTAAAATAGATGAAAATTTGGCCATGGACGATGCCCTTGACCTATGGCTGTCCCTCTTTTAGTTCACTTTTCCAGAAGCCCAAGGCTGTGAACAGTTGGGTGCGTGTGTGACAACCCGACCAGGACTGGAGATGGGTGGGGACAACTGTGTGCGTGTGCAGTGTAGTGATTTCTCTCTCATTCCTGCAGCCAGGTCAGGGCAGGTCCACTTCAAGCTGCAGGTCCGGCTCAGGTGTGCTCTGTGGCTCTCCTCCTGGGGTCCAGGCTTTTAAAAACACTTGAACTGCATTTTTTCTTTCCATAGTCTTTCATTTTCCCAGGTGTTTTTATTCATTCAGCTCTTATTGAAGGCCCACACCTCCTGGGCATTGTGAACATTGTAATGGTTAAGATGTGGCAGCTGCCCTCGGGGGCACACAGACACGAGTCACTGCTGCTGAAAAAGTGAGTCTTCAGCAGGGGAGAAGCAAGCAGCTCCCGAGAGGGAAACCAGACAAGGCCTCAGGGATGGCGCTGGAGTTGGGTCTTGACGGATGAGTAGGAGTTTGCTAGGCCATGAAGGGAGACAGGAGCTGCTGACCGTGGGATCAGAGTGTATGTTATCACAGACATGTGATAATGTCTCCATGCTCAACTTCATGTAATTTTCTGTAACTTTATAGCTTAGGTTTCTTCAAATTTATTTTTTTATTAATTGCTTTTAAAATAGAAATTTTAAATAATTCCTAATAGTGTTTCTGATGTCTTTTGTCTATTAAAAAAATCGTCTTGGCTTTATTAATTAAAGAAAACGAGATGAGATGCTTGTCACGTGGTGTCCTTAAGCGTGTGTGTAGCTCAAGCACGTGCCCGGTTTTAACCGTGAGCTCTGTGTACTCCTGTCTAGATTAAGTTCGACAGCGTCGAGGTGTGTGTCTGCTGTGAGATGCAGCATCAGTCGTCGGGCTGCAGCAACCTTGGAGAGACACTGAAGCTGAACCCGCTGAGGGAGGACTGCAACACCGTGCGGCTGACCTTAAAGGTGACCCAGGCTCCACTGCTTCCACCTCCCATCCCATCCTTGCGACGTCTCGACATCTCATAGGAAGGTTTTATTAACTGCGTTCCTTTCAGTTCTTAGTTCATCCAGCTGGGTCACATGCAGCAGGGAGTATCTTTCCAGAGAGTGTTTTAAACCATTAGAGATTTCCACTTTAAAGGTTTCACTTTCTGGGTTTTCCGTTTCCACCATTTCACTCTCTGACTCCCACATCTGTGAAGCAGGGCTGAATGTGTTAAAAGAGGTTGTTGCAGATGTGGATGTGACGCGTGCCACTGCTTTTCCAACATTTTTTTTAAATTTATTTATTTTTGGCTGCTCTGGGTCTTTGTTGCTGCATGCAGGCTTTTTCTAGTTGCTGCGAGTGGGAGCTCCTCTTTGTGGCAGTGCTTGAGCTTCTCACTGTGGTGGCTTCTCTTGTTGCGGAGCTCGGGCTCTAGGCACACGGGCTTCAGGAGTTGTGGCTCGTGGGCTCAGTAGTTGTGGCTCGCGGGCTCAGTAGCTGTGGTGTGTGGGCTCTAGAGCTCAGGCTCAGTAGTTGTGCCACATGGGCTTAGTTGCTCCGTGGCATCCGGGATCTTCCCGGACCAGGACTCGAACCTGTGTCCCCTGCACTGGCAGGTGGATGCTCGACCACTGTGCCACCAGGGAAGTCCCTCCGACATTTTTTTAACTGAAGTATAGTTGATTTACAATGTTGTGTTAATTACTGCTGTACAGCAAAGTGACTCAGTTATACATACATTCTTTTACTATATTCTTTTCCATTATGGTTTATCCCAGGAAATTGGATATAGTTCTCTGTGCTATACAGTAGGACCTTGTTGTTTATCCATCCTATATATAAGGATTGGGAGTTTAGGGTTCACCTCTGATAACCCCAAACTCCCAGTCCTTCCCTCTTCCACCCTCCTCCCCCTAGGCAACCACCAGTCTGTTCTCTATGCCTGTGAGTCTGTTTCTGTTTTGTAGATAGGTTCATCTGTGTCATATTTTAGATTCCACATATAAGTGAGATCATACGATATTTGTCTTTCTGACTTATTTCACTTAGTATGATAATCTCTAGGTCCATCCATGTTGCTGCAAATGGCATTATTTTGTTCTTTTTTATGGCTGAGCCAACATTTTTGCTATTCCATCATCAGGGAACAGATGGGTACTTATTTCACCTTTTTAAAGATATTTGGAGCAAGAAATTTTATAGTCTCCCATGGCAATCTATTCTTATGTACAGCATCTGATTTCTCTTTAATGACATGGAAAATTGTTTATATCACTTCTCTCTTTTTCTTCCTACAAGTTTTTCCTACTCCTGAAAATTAACATTGGCCGCTTAAAAACGTGTATGAACAATGAACCCAATTCTTCTCTTTTCCCTGAAACTAAACTGCTAAACATTTTTTGAAAGATGCAGCTACGGTCCAAGCAGCTCTTGGTGGGTGGTAAAATGGTATTTACGGTATACAGGGAGCCCTGTAGTACATACGTGTGCAAGGGTTGCAGTGTGCGGGGATCTGGAGGCTCCAGAGAGCCACGCTGGCACCTGGGAGAATGGAGAACAGTGTTGCCGTCTGGAACGGGGGCCTGTGGTTCGTCCTCCATGGGTGTCATTTCAAATACTGGCAGTGGTGAACCAGCAGGTCTGGGGAACTCCCTGTGAACTCCAGTGCCCTGGGAAGCTGGCTGGCAAACGAGCAGTGGCTACAGAGATAGAGGTTGTGCCTGAGGCCCCCAGCACCTCCCTGTTTCACAGAGGGGATGGTCCCTGCTCATTGGTCCCAGCAGCCCACCAGAGCGACAGATCCAGGGGGTTGGAGGAAGCCAGAAGGCAGCAATCAAGGGCCCATCCTCTTGGTCACAGGGTGTTCCTTGCCGTCTCCCGTTGAGTATGGCCACGGCTTCTACCTTAATAGCTCCTGGGGGTGCTCTGCGTCATCCCACCAGCGTCGGCTGTGCTCACTCTGATCTCATTCTGCCTACTCCTAAGTCTTCCGCTCAGCTCGGGTACTGTTTCTTTCCATATTTAAAAAACGTCATAAGACAATAGGTCATTATAATGACAGTGCAACCCCACCCCCACCCCGAAGAAGCTGGCACGCCCCCAGGGCATCTTACAATGCTGCAGACTGCCTGGGTGTGCAGATGCGGTGAAGTGATCAGGTCACACCCCTCTCCCCGGTGGATGGATTGGAGGTCTCTGGCCTGCTCCCCCAAGGCCTGGAGTTCCTAACGCTGCACTCAGGGACCCCCTCCAGCCCCTGAGGAGGTGACCTTGGCTGGAACAGTGAGGATGGTGTGGGGTCAACAACGCTCCCTCCAAGAATGCAGCCGGGCCTGGGGGAGCTTGCTGTCCACCCTCGTCCACTGTGCTGGTGCCCTGACGAGAAGGCCATGAGGGATAGGGCGGCTTGAATAGAACGGAGTGAAGGACACTGAAGATGTTCCAGCCAAGCTGGGAGCCTCGTTGAATGGCTCATCTCCATGGACGTTCGCGTTGCCTGGGACAATGGTAAGAGTTGAAGGAAAAGAAAGACTGCACCAAACTTCTCAATGAATTTGTTTCCAAAATGTAAGTAGAGGTAGTGCTGGTGGCGTGAGGCCCAGAGGAGGTAGGATTTATGACTGAGGTGGAAAGAGCAGCAGTCTGCAAACGAAGTGACCAACAAGGGATTAATTTCCAAAATATACACACAGCTCATGCAGCTCAATATCAAAAAACAAACAACCCCATCAAAAACTGGGCAGAAGATCTAAATACACATTTCTCCAAAGAAGACATACAGGTGGCCAAAAAGCACATGAAAAGATGCTCAACATCACTAATCATTAGAGAAATGCAAATCAAAACTACAATGAGGTATCACCTCATATCAGTCAGAATGGCCATCATCAAAAAGTGTATACATAATAAGTACTGGAGAGTGTGTGGAGAAAAGGGAACCTACACTGCTGGGGGGAATGTAAATTGGTGCAGCCACTATGGAGAACAGTATGGAGGTTCCTTAAATAACTAAAAATAGAACTACCATATGACCCAGCAATCCCACTCCTAGGGCATATATCTGGAGAAAACCATAATTTGAAAAGATACATGCACCCCTATGTTCATAGCAGCACTATTTACAATAGCCAAGACATGGAAGCAACCTAAATGTCCATTGATACATGAATGAATAAAGAAGATGTGGTACATATATACAACGGAATATTACTCAGCCATAAAAAAGAATGAAATAATGCCATTTGCAGCAACATGGATAGACCCAGAGATTATCAAACTGAGTGGAGTAAGTCAGACAGAGAAAGACAAGTATAATATGATATCACTTATATGTGGAATCTTTAAAAATATGATACAAATGAACTTCTTTACAAAACAGAAACAGACTCACAGACATAGAAAACAGACCTATGGTTAGCAAAGGGGAAATGTGGGATGGGGGGTATAAATTAGGACTTTGGGATTAACATATAAACATTATATATATAAAATAATCATAAAATAGATGAAATAGATAATCAACAAGGGCCTACTGTATAGCACAGGGAACCCTATGCAATATTCTGTAATAACCTATATGGGAAAAGAATCTGAAACCAAATGGATGTATATGTATATGTATAACTGAAGCACTTTGCTGTACACCTGAAATGAACACAGCATTATAAATCAACTATACTCCAGCATAAAATAAAAAATTAAATTTAAAAAAAGAGCAGCAGTGACCAGCCTGCCCCTGCCCCCCAGCCGAGGGCCTGGAAAGGGAGCAATGGCTCTGGGGGGAGCTGAGATTCATCCAAGATCAGGAAGACAAGGGACTCTTAGAAGTAAGAGCTTGTTTACTGCCATCCTCTAACTTTGTTTTTGTTTTCCAAAATTGTCTTGGTTATCCTAGTTCCTTTGTATTTCCATATAAATTGTGGAATCAACATTTCAATTTCTACAGAAATCCTGCTGGAATTTTGACTGAGATTGCACTGAATGTATACATCAACTTGGAGAGAACGGATGTATTCATGGTTTAGCTCCCCATTTATTTAGGTCTTCTTTGATTTCATCAGTGTTTCTTTTTTTCCATCAGTGTTGTGTAGTTTTTAGTATATAGAGCATAACATATTTTATAATGTGTATGCTTAGAGTATTTAATGTGTACAGGTGCTCTTTTAATGGTACTTAACTTTTTTTAAAATTGTCTTTTGTTCATTTATATATAGAAATTTGATTTTTGTGACTGAGCTTGTATCCTGTGATTTGCTAAACTTACCTACTAGTTCTGGTAGCTCTTTTATAGATTCTTTTGGATTTTCTATGGCAGCAATCATGTGCTATTGATTACCAGAAAGATGCCATCTTACATCTTCTTTTCCCATCTGGTTGCCTCTGATTCTTCTTCCTTGCCTATTGCACTGACTAGAATCTCCAGCAGTGTCACATAGAAGTAGTGAGAGCGTACATGCTTGCCTCGTTCCTGATTCTAGGGATTACATGTGTTGTTAGCTCTGAGTTTTTTATAGACGTACACTATCTGGTTGTGGAAGTTGCCTACTATTCCTAGTTTTCTGAGAGTTTTTATCATGGTGGATGTTGGTTTTGTCAAAGTACCTTCTGCGTCTACTTAGATGTTCGTATACTTTGTCTTCTTTATTCTGCTAATGCGGTGAATCACGTTTTTTTTTTTATTGAAGTATAGTTGATTTACAATGTTATGTTAGTTTCAGGTGTACAGCAAAGTGATTTACTTATACATACATATATATCTATATCTATTCTTTTTCAGATTATTTTCCATTATAGGTTATTACAAGATATTAAGTATAGCCCCCTGTGCTATACAGTAGGACCTTGTTGGTTATCTATTTTATATAGAGTAGTGTGTATATGTTAATCCCAAACTCCTAATTTATCCCTCCCCCTCTTCCCTTTCGGTAATCATAAATTTGCTTTCTATGTCTGTGAGTTTATTTCTCTTTTGCATATG